TAAAGTGTTAACTAAGTTTTCACCACGGTTTTCTGGTATGCAATGAAATACTAAATTATTTACTCTTGTTTCTTTGTCCATAATAGTCAATCTGGAATTTATTTTTATTTGATTTTCGCGAAGCTTAGTATTTTCATTTTTAAGGGACGATATTTCCTGCATAGCCGCTTCTAAATTTTTTTTGTTGCTTATCGTACATAGATTGTAATACATCCATTTTATTTTTAATTTCCTGTATACCACTTACTTCCAGCCTAATAGCTTTGAGGTCTGGGCTCACTGAATTTTCTAATATATTACTTATCTCGTGTCGTATCAAGGATATTATGGTATGATTTACAGGTGTCTGCGTTTGTGTAGGAGAAGAATATATTTCATTATTTTTTGTAATTGGAGAGGCCATAAGGCCTTCAGTTTGGTTACGGCTCTGGCAAAATGAGCATTTAAATGACTTCACACTTTTAGGGTTGTCTTCTTAAATGACGTACTGGTAAAACCAACACATTGATAGTGAAACAAGGCCGGACAGGCTGTGCATTTAATCTTATCTTTTTGAAGTAGGGTCGTATTACATGAATTGCAAGACATGTTACTTGTAAATAAAAGTTTTAATTTTATAACTTTCAATGTTGAAGATTAATCGGATATAATTTGTTTAATTTGTATTTAATATAAATTTAATAGTGGGTATCTTCGCTTACTTCTCTGCCCATCCAACGCACTTTGCAATATACAGCTGCTATGGTCGCGCAAAAAAGGTCTTAAGTGCCGTTCACGTCAACACAGCGAAACAACACTTATCAAATTCTTGGAGAAAAAAATTTTCGCACATCTATAATTGTTCTGATTTATAACTTCACTATTTTATTGTACTAAATAGTTAAAATCCATGGCTTAACTTAAAACACTTTCCCTCAGCTAATTTAACTCTTATTTTTCAACATCTTTTTTAAATTTAGACGGAGCTAACAGCGCGTGCGTTACGTTGCGAACGACGACTTTTGAAGTTTTTGGCGAAAAACCAAAAAGTTTTTTGTGCGATCATGGACTTGGAAAAGGCTTATGACAGAGTGGACAGGGATGTGTTATGGCAAACGCTGAACGCATTTAAGTTGAGCGCTGGTTTAATACAGGCATTAAAGTCTCTTTATAGAGACTCTAGTGCTTGTGTTAGGATCAAGGGGGTCTACTCGGACTGGTTTGGCATCCATAAAGGTGTCAGACAGGGCTGTGTAGCTTGCCCGTGGCTGTTCAGCCTATTTATGGACAGTTGTTTGGAAAATTTGAAAGTTGAAGAATGCGGGTTAAGAATGGGTGAGTTAACCATCAAATTCCTTTTGTACGCCGATGATCAAGTCATACTTGCGTCGTCGGCGGCCGAGTTGCAAATGATGGTTACATTAATGAACAGGTCATTAAAAGAAAAGGGAATGAAAGGGTAGTAAGTAAGACGAAAGTGATGGTTTTTGAAAGAGAAGAAAGCAAAACGGTATGTGAAATAAGAATAGAAGGAGAGTTAATTGAGCAAGTGGATGAGTTCGTATATTTGGGATGTGTATTCAGCAGGGATGGGAGATATGATAAGGATATTGAACGACGAGTGAATGCAGGAAATAAAGTAAATGGGGCTCTACACTCTATTGTGAAAAGTCAGAATGTGTCAAAAAAGGCACGTATGGCAATTCACAATGCTGTAATAGTCCCTACTTTAACATATGGTAGTGAAAGTTGGGTGTGGCAGAAGAAGCACGAGAGTAGAATAAATGCAGTAGAAATACGGTCGCTAAGGAGTATGTTAGGGCTGAATCTAAGTGACAGAGTGAGAAACTGTGTGATAAAAGAAGAGTGTAGTTTGCAAGATGATGCAGTGACCAGGATTAAGAAAGGAATGCTTCGGTGGTTTGGTCATGTAGATAGAATGAATGCGGAAAGACTGACAAAGCAAATATACGTTGCAGAAGTGAATGGAAGAGTCGGAAAGGGACGTCCTAGGCGGAAGTTTGTCGACCAAATTGGCGATATACTAAAAATGGGCCAAATTAAGAGTACCCTTAACCGACGAGCATGTATGCGTATATAGTATGTAGGTATATGGATGTGGAAGAGGCGAGAGAGGTATGTCAGGATCGTGCTAAATGGAAGTCTGTAGTCTCTGCCTACCCCTCTGGGTGACAGGCGTGAGTGTTTATGTTATGTTATGTTTATGTTATTTAGTCACTTTTGATATTTAGTTTTGAGTTTTTATTCAACTATGGCCACTAAAAAGCCAAAAGGTACTGGATAGCATACGGGTGCTTAAATAACAATAGGAATTTTGACATTTCTTTATTTGGTATTCCTAAGAATACCGAAAGTTATTATTTATAGGTATATCTAGATAATTAGGTACCTAGTTACTAGCTCCGTAGTTACAGATTTATTATTTGACTAGCGACCTGACCACAGCAGTTTTCGATTTTTTTGCGTATAATTTCAATGACCTCAAATACCGTTCAGTGTAAGTAGACCTCCCAGTACTAGTTACTGCCTACTAATGCAAGATCAGCATATATTGGTTATTGGTTAAACAGTTGATCTATAAAAGAATAAGATTGAAAATAGTAGCACTTCTCATTGTCACCATTTCATTAATAATGTCGTCGCGCGTCGCATGTTTGTAAATAGCAAAAAAAAAATGTGAAATAGAAAATGGTAAGTACGTAAATTACTTGAGTTTCAAAGACGTTCAAGTTGTTATAATCTTAATTTTTTCTAGAAGTTTCATATTAACCTTCCCACAGACCACCTTGCCTACGAGACATGTAACGAAAGGCGACAAATTTCTGTACTTCATCTGCTCAACCAGTGCCTATATAGTTGAACACGAACGCTACTCTGTTTAGTATTGACCAGACAACAGACCTGTGCACTGCTTCCTTCTACTACAATCACTTCCACTACAATTTTTTTAAATAAAAAACAGTAAAACATGCCTACTCGCGCAGTAAAGTGGTGTGGCAGTGATAGCAGGAAACATAATTTCAAGAATGCTACATTTAACAATCTTAAAATACTAAAAACGTGACGGTTCAACGTATTCTGGTCGTATTCTGAGGCTGTCCTTGTCAAGCAAGTATTATAGTTGCGTCTCTATCTATCAATCAGAGGGGCTGCAGGCGGCACGTGTAAGTAGAGATAACCAAAAAAGTATCGATGCAAGTTTATCGACTATTTATCGTGTTATTATTTTTTGTGTAGATGTCATTATATTATATTTGTGTTTGTAATTATAATTTGAAATCAAAATTACAGTTTTACAAACCCACTCACTTACTGACGGACTGACTCACTCATTGACATAATTGTACTCCAAGAAGGAGCCATCGGCGGTAAAAATGATTTATGGGAAGTTTTATCGGTGGGTGAAAGTAAGTATGGAGAAACCTCCAGATCTTCAAAAACTGCTCCTCATCAGGTAGTCACCCTGCCTCCCTGCCTGCCGAAACTATAGCACTGTGACGAAAATTTTTGCCATTATAGTATTAAAACCTTGATGAAATTTAATCGCCCATAATATTTTTAAAAATAGCGGAAAATCTGCTTCTCATCATTAGGGAGTAAATCTAATGCATGTCCAAAGTATAGCAATTAGCCACCAACTTTAGATATGCTATTTCAAGGTTTAGTTAGGTAATTAACTAATTACTTATTAGCATTAATTTTGCTTACATTCCCAGCTTTCTTGGGCACATTCCGCTCTTAACGGATTTATGATAAGCGATTAGCGTTGTAAATGACATGTTAAATACATGTATATATTTAAAAAAACTTTACATATATTTAACGGTGTATTTTACGCATCATTCATTTGTTTATAATAACGTTACGTTTTCAGTCTCCCATATTTACGCGTACGATTTATGGATGTGACACATCTCTAAGTTACGTCTCCCGCACACCTTTCTTTCTTCTAACCTTGACAGACTAATTTAGTTAGAAAATCGTAATGGTTTAATGTCTCGTAGGCTGGGTGATCTGTGAAACTTCCTCACATTGAACACTAATTGTCCTTATTATCAGCAAATTACTAGTACATTGCATACATTACATAACACCTCGGTGTATTCTACTACCAACTAATATCAAAAGAGTCAATTTGTTTTCTCACAGCACCTTACCCTACAATAGGAGCGGCCTTAACAATGGCGCGTAACGGGCTGAGCAATATAGACTCGCACGTGGATGTAAGGTGCATTTTGATTTAATACGAGCGCCGCATAATGTTTTTTTTTCGACGATTTAATCTGTAGGCTAATTTCACGAAGATCACTTCCAAGGCGTGCAAAGTATTATGAACACTAGCGACGTTGTTGTTGATCCTTCTGTTTTGGTACTATTATTTATTCTGTGCTAAAACGCTGAACTAAAATCGCTTGCTATTTGTTGAAGAATTGGTCAATTTATGGACACATTATTTATTTTGTCCTTTGATATATATAGTCAGTGTTAGAATTGACTCTCTTTCCCAATGGTTAAAATTGTCGAGATTCACCATATTCCTTTGTCAAGCCTTTATTTGGAATTCCACTCTCTAGCTTTGATATAATATGCAATTTATCTTCGATATTATTTTTTTTACTTTGTCTTTGCGACATGTGAAATGTTTTAACTCAACTATATGCTTTGGTGCATCTTGTGTAGTGGCTTGTGTAGTGTAAATAACAAACTGACTGATTAGATATGAAAAAGCAAGTTTTGATTATACTGCTTGCATGTTAACGTGTGAATGGTTTTAAACGTTTGTAGCCGAGCCGTCAGATGTCGGTTTTTTGTCACAAATCAAAGCGAATTTGTCGCAAGCGCTTGCGACGCGTCCACACGTTTGTGGGCACTCAGTCTCATTTGTGTGTATTAGTGCAATGTGTAATGAGTAGTGTGTAGTTAATGAGTAGTGAGCAGTGTGTTGCGCGTGGTGAGTAGTGTGTAGTGTAATGTAGTGTGGAGGAGAGAGGGGCACGTACGCAGCAAGCGGTCGGCGGGCGCAGGCGAGTGCGTGGGGCGCGGCACACGCGCCGACGGCGGCCGTCGCAACTCCAACGGCGGCGTCGGCGCCTCCGAGCCCTCAGCCTCTAGGGACCTGTGGGGTAAACCTATATGTTACCTACAATAATTATGCATAATATACACTAGCTGCACCCACGATTTTATACACGCAAACTGATATCTATAAATTACATGGATTTTATATTAAAAGAAGTCTGTTGTGGATGAGGGATAACGGCAATTAGTACACCAAGAATAACACTTGACTTGACTTACCAAGCTGTACATTAAAAGTAACAAAACTATAATTGTTCTATTTTCTGAGTGACTATTGAACAAATCCAACGCGCTGCTTCCTGTACGAATTGGCAGACTTCGCATGTCCTCGAAATAGTTTTAATTTTGCACACATCCGCATGATGTTTTCTAACAATGGCCTAATACATCACACAATGAGTATAACAAATTGCCATTATAGAATATAAGAAATAAATCGACACATTTCATCAGGTTTCGCTGCAATTTGTGGCGGGCTCTTTCTTTATACAAAAAGAAAGTGTCTCCTTTAAGTGAATCTTTTGAAGCACTGTTGTACATTTCATCAACTTCATTATCATCATCACAGCCCTTTACAAGTCTACTGCTTAACTGCCTTTGGAATGTTTTGTGGTGTTGTGGCACACGGTCCTGAACCAGCTGCATCCTTCGACTTCCTGCATGTCTTACCCGGTCGTCACTCCATCTAGTGGGGAAGGGGACTACATTACGCTTACCGGTACGACGCCACAACTCAAGGATCCTTCTACCCTATCGGTTTTTAGTCCATCAATATGTATGATTTGAACTTACTGATTCGTTGGGCTGTGTCGATTATTCTCATTCTACTGCAGATATTCTCTAAATTTAACACTCATAAAGGTATATAAATTCAGTAAGTGAATACCATAAAATATAATTTACCTTGTATATGGTGAAGGTGTAGCTCGACTTTCATGTTGTGTAGCACGGAAATGTTGCTGGTACATTTGATAATGTTGATGGGAAAAGTGAGGATACATTCCGTCTCCCTGTGGGAAAAAAATGTATTATATTTCATATAATACTAGTAAAATTTTTACTATGTACATGTATAATTTAATTACTTTGTGGTATACCGAGGTAACGGGAGAAGTCTGTTGATGCGCGGGCGGAGGACTTCTCACTAAGTCTGCAGACTATTCCGGATAGCGTGAACAGAATTACAATTTATGAAAATCCTCGCTTACGAAATTATCATTTGCAATAAAAATTATTGTCACATCTCAAAATAAATATATTTCTAAGAAAAAAACTCACCAAAGACATTTGGCCTTGGGGACTGATTGACGGCACACTGGTAATGGTGACACGAGAAGCAGCTCCTGAATTAATTAATATGATATAAAAGTTTTAAAAATTCAATTATACTTATTGTAAACATATATAATTTTATATTTTAAATAAAAAAACAAGACTTGAATATACTTTTTATTTATAGTCACATGACACATAGTATATAAAAAACTGACAAGTCGGATTAGTTTCACGCTAAAACGCGGATGACAAGAATAAATGAAAGTATGAGAGAAGTAGAGATGAGGAAGGTGGCTCACCGGGGTGATGGTGGTGGGGTCCCACGACGGCGACCTGCTTGGCATGGTGCGGCGGCGGCAGGTGCGCGCCGCGCGGCAGGCTGGCAGCGCCCGCGTACGCGCGCAGCCGCGGCGCGCCCGCGCCCGCGCTCACCGCGCCCGCAACCCCCGCGCCCGTCACCCCCGCGCCCAGCCCCACGCCCGCTACAACGTTGCTCACAGCGCCTACGCTGCCCATGCAGCGCACTTCCGCTTCACTTTCTCCACCCCTGCTCACATAATATGACAAAAAGAATCCTATAGCGACACTATTTCAAGCTAATTGTGAACATCAGATGTAAACTTTTAAAATGTTATCAAACATATGTAGTCATGTTATATGTTATAGACAACTTTTATTTGATCTCAACAATTCCGTTGTCACCATCACTGAAATGGGGATATTTACGTTTTATTTTAATATAAAATATGAGTGACAAACGAGCAGACTGTCCACCTGATGGTGTTGGTAAGTGGGTGCTGTGGTCCATGGACGTCTACATTTATCCTCAATTAAAAATCAAAATGTAGATGCGTTGTCACCTCTGAAAACTGATATCGAATGCCTCATTTGCAGTAAAAAGTACCTCCGGTTCTTTACAATCACCATACGTAACACAGCAGCATTAAGCTGCTATTTTACGCTGTTATTCTGTGAGACCGTGGTCTTACCCCCGTCGAGCCAACACCAAATGCTAACACATAGCATATTATAATAAAACAAGCAAGAATCTTGCAAGCTTTATTATCAATAATATCAATTACGAATTTATAGATCTATAGTCAAATTTTTTTTTTCAAACGGAGTCTATATTGGGTTTCCAAGAAGGAATTCCTGTAGGATGTTTAATGATAATTTATACAATATAAATAGTCTTAAGATTCGAAACAAAATACACTAAGTGAGGCTATAACTTTTTCTAAAAGTCCACGGCTGACTATGAGCCTTCCCATTGTAAGAAAGATTTTCATTAATCGTCACGCTCGGCAGACAGATTGATGATAGCACTTTTGACTGAGCTTCACATCGTCGCTTTGAGTGTTTTACGTCTGGCGTAAGCGAGTTGATTATGTCGTCAGCATTCAGGAGCTATAAGATCTTTTTCTTATAGCTCATAGTCGCCTCTTACAACACTGAAATAAGGCGCTGGTTTCTTTTCCGCCTCCACCACTCGATAAAAAGCTAAATAAAACCATTACAACCAACACATACAGTGACTACTACTAAACTAACCTCACGAGGACGGGTGTTGCTCGGTCGGTGGGCCGGTGCGTGGAGGGTGGTCTGTGCGGCAGCGCCGGCGACTGCACTCGCGCATCCGTGGCTTCGGTGGCACCGACGGGCATCATGTTACCGGGCACGTTGTCTACCAGGTGACGTGCAAAGCCCGCGTCACTCGGCTCGCCGGTGGCCGACACGAAGTCTGTGTTACGAGACTCGCGTAAAGGTATACTCTGCTTGTCGGCCTCCATCGGCGCCCGGTCCGCCTGGTGCTGGGCAGCTCGCTCGGGCACGCCGGACACGCCCGGAACACCGGCCAATCCCGGCACGCCAGCCACACCCGGAATTCCTGCTACTCCAGCCACGTTGGGCGATGCTGCACCCATAATAGTCGTAGCCGATGCCGCCGCATCGAATGCGCTCGCCAATTTCGCACTAATTTCTGATATCATCTTCTTAGGTGGTTTCATAATAGGCGTCGGAGCTGGATTTGGTGGTTGAGAGATCACAGGTGGTGTACTACTAGTTTTTATAACTGGCGCAGGTTCCGACTCGGGTTTGCATGCAAAGTTCTCAGCCATTTTGGGTATCTTAATTTCTTTGACTGTTTCTTCTTTTTTGATTTTCTCGTCACAGCTGTCGACTGACGCGTCCGACAGACTTCTGTCCCTAGTTCTTTTAACGCCTCTTGGAGATTTTCTCGTATCTGCATTTTGAACTTTATCAACTTTAGGTCCGACTTGCCTAGTTAGTCGTCTCTTATTACCCTCTTTAGTTTTAGTTTGCACACTAGATCCTTTAATAACATCATCTATCACATCATCTACAGTTGTGCGTTGAACGTCTTTTTCCTGCAATCTTCGTGATTTTCTGGTGTTAGACGAAGGTGATGCAAAACTTGCAATTTTATCATCCTTTATTACTTTTTCATTTTTTAATTGATCTTTAGTAGTGATACTAAGCGTCGATGACGCAACCACGTTAGAATGGCCAGATAGTGGACTTTTAATCGTAAGAATCAGGCGCGGTCTTGTTTCAGTTTTATTAGGTGAAGTAGTTGTTTCATCACCAGAATCTTCGTGAAAGTCATATACATCTCCCGGCATATTATTAACTGTATTATTAACTAGACTTTTTATTTTTTTATCTATTTTGGATCGACCTCTACCACGTTTGCCACCACCAGTTCCTCTAGCAGGTTTAGAAATTTGTCGAGTTTGTACTCTCTCCTGCTTTCTGTCAGTTCTTTTACCTCTAGAATTCCGACCACCTCTTCTGTTGGTTGGCGTTGCTTTTTCAGTAATTAATTCTTCGAGAGGGTTGTTAAAAATATATTCGCTTTGTCTATCTGAAGATTTGGTTGATTCCGCTTCTGAAGTATTAGAAATAACAGGATATGTTGAAACTGAGGATGGTATTTCATTTATTTTTTGCACATCACTCTTTTTCTCAATTATTTCATTGTTATCATTACACAATGAATCAACTTTTTTGATGACCGAGTCTATATTTATATCCTTTGCTGACCAGTAATCATTATCATCTAAGCTTTTCGTTTGACTATCATTTTCATTATCAGATGATAAAACAGTAGGAAAAGTATAAACTTCATCCTTTTTTGTGTGATTAGTGGCAGTTTTACAAACTTTATCGGGCACTACGACAATGCTATTTGTTGGAGTTGGTATGGTAGTTTCTGCTTTTTCAACTTTGGCCAACTCTTCCCCTTCTTTTATAGTGGTATCTTTTGACGAACAAGCAACTTCAGCAACATCTTTTTCAGACTCAGCATTTTTATCTTCTTTTTCTTTGTCATTGTCCAACGTGTTACTTTGCACAACAGATGTTTCTATGACAGAAACTTCTTTTTCGCTCTCTATTCTGTCAGAAATATTTACACTATTTTTTCTTTCTCTACAGTGTGTAATCAAAGTTACTGTTTTCCCAACATTAACCTCAAGTTTCTTTTCCGGATCATTAGTTACTTTAATTTCATTTGTGTTGTCTTTTAGCAATTCCTCAAAGTCTGTAGTATCACATTTATTTACAATTTCAGGTGATACTGTTGGTTTATTTTGATGTTCTTTTTCGTACTCAGTTGCAACTGAGGAATCAGTTTTATTTATAACTACGTTTTCTTTGTCATGCAAAACTTTATTTTGAATAGATACTGCAAAAGCATTTTCTAAATTATCAACATCATTTTTCAGATTTATTCTGATGGGTGTTTTCGATCCAGTAGTAGTCAATAACAATGGAGTCATAACCACATTTGTAAGATTTGATGATGTAACATCTACTGAATTTGTACTCTCTATTTTAGTTAAAACCGTAGGTGGCCTAATCGCAGCAACTGAAAAAAAGGGAAGTTGGAACTTTGCTCGAATCTAACTGTATAACATTACTTAACGTAGTTGTAGTCAATATTCTTTGTGAATTTAAAGTGTGAATCACATTAGATCCTTGACCTCTACTGGGTACGTGTGCTTCTTGAATTGTACACATCACTGGTTTTGCTCCACTTTGTATTATGGGTGCAGATGAGTGGCTTACATTAGCAACATGTATTATAGGCTTGGCGGTTAAAGAAATATGACTTTGCTCTGATTTCTGCGTTTGATTTTCTTGTTTATCAGAAATTTGACTCCTATTAATTAGAATTTTATTTGGCATATGCAATGTTGTATTTACATTTCCTACGTGCAGAGCGTTTTGCATTGGTTTGAAACGATTCTGTGCCATAACTGTAGTATTCGTGTTTGGTTGTAAACGTGTAGGTGATAGAAGTATTTTAGTATTTTCATTAATATTTTCAGTTATATTTCGAACTTCATTTTTTCTACAATCTCCTGTAATGATCTTTGGTTGATGCGTAACTGAAGAACTGCTTACACCAATACTTTTATTTTGTTGGAGTAGATTATTTGCATTCATTTGCTTTGAAATTGGAGTTAATATTGGCGCAACCGGTAAACGATTTAAATGTAGCGGAGCCCCCTGTGTTTGAACCAACACAGAATTTGGTCTGTTGGGAGACACCATAGCTCTTGCACCAACGGGAATATGCATTGTTTGAATCGGACTTAACGGTGGTTGCTGCATGCGTACTACTGTCATTTGTCCAGGAGATCTTTGATGTAAAGCATTTGGAGATCTTATCCCAACAGTTTGTGGGGACGTACTCAAAATAGCCATGTTCGTTAGTCGCGGTGAAGTAATGCTTTCTCCTTGAGGGCTGGCTTTCGGACTAGACATACGAGGGTCACAGCTTGTCCTGGGTGAAATTACAATACCTGGTTGTTTTTGATATAGAACATGAGATTCTGGTATTTTGATGGTAGGGGGCTGTATATTTGTTACCTGAGGTCGTATCACCTGATTAATAACTTGATATGGAGCACTGACTCTGACAGGATTGACGATTGGTCTCACTGAGTTGTTAATTTGATTTGTAGATGGTTTAAGTTGAATAATATTTGTTGTAATATGCGTTGTTTTATTTTCATTTGTATCTCTACAAGGCAAAGGGGTTGAAGATATGTTTAATAATTGCGGCTCTATTAGCTTATTATTAGATAACGTCCATGATGTAATCACTGGTGTTGCAGTAGAGGTAGCCTGTTGAACCGGATCTTTCTTAGGTAGGGTAAATGTCAAATCTGTTTCATTACTTTTTGTAACATTTGAATCCGGACTTGTGTTGTGAACAACAGTTGTCTTTGGTTTTGCAATAATAATATTTGAAATTTCTTCCGATTTACTTGTATTGATTTTAGAGTTGTTATTGAGGGATTGGTTTGTTGCGATTATATTAACGGGTAACTTGTCAATAACGTCTTGCGGTATTTCGTCAGCGTCTTCTGTATCAGTATCAATAAGTAAGAGATCATTATCAGAAACTGGCGTGTCCGGTTTAATTTCCATTTCACTTGCATTTAAATTTTGCACCGCTTGTCGCATTTCTTCAGCATCCTCCTCAGGAATATTGTCATTTTCAGTAACAGTACTTTGAATTTCAATCTCCCGGACACTGTCATTTTCAACCTCTTCATAGCAATTAGCAAATGTATTTTCTTTGCCACCAAAACTTTCTCCTAAAAGAGCAGCTACAGCATCCTCTGTTTCTTCTTGTGAAATAATTGCTCTTGGCTTCTCTTCTACTTTTTTGTCAATTTTAGAGGAATGAGAATCAATTTTCTCTACGGGCTTTTCGGGTTCTATATCTAAGTTTGAGATGCTACGAACAGCATTTTCATTATCATCGATATCAAAACTCGGCAGAAAGCTTTCTTGTTTGTTTTGTTCACTGTTAGGCGGGATGGGGTCTTTTGGCAATGGTACTTCGCTGATATCTTGGATAGTATTATCGTATGTTGGTGGCATAGGAATCTCATTTATTTCTATAGTTTTAATGTGTTGAACATCATTTTCTGTTTCAATAATTATTATTTTAGAAGAGTCACTCTCATTTTTCGTTTTATAATCTGACGATGATAGTGGCGGAGTGTCAGTTAACCTGGGTAGGCTAGGGGACTCAGAGTGTGACTTGCAATCATCAGATTTAGTTGTTATTTCCACTTTTTGTATCTCGGATGGTAAAGGTATATCTTTAAGAAGAGTTTTAGGAAGAACCTCTTCAGTTTTTTCTAGTGATATTAATTCTTCTAATTTACTTACTTTATCGTGATGGTGAAAGTGATGATGATCCCTACGGTTTTGTCGATCTTCTTTATTTTTCTTTTTCTTTTTTCTCTTTTCTCTATCTTTAAACTCTTTTTTAAATTTATCATAGTGTCTATCGATTGATTTAGAATAATCGTTTCTTGAAGAGATATCATCCAATTTGTGTTCGGATATTGTTTGGTTACCAAAAAATTCATTTTTGGCTCGGTTATCATCATGGCTTGATGCATCAGCAAACAGCCTTGCTTCTATAGCCTTACTTACAGCATCAACGTCTAAGCTATTATCATCCTCCTTAACAAGATATTTTTTGTCTTTTCGTTTCTTATCTCTCTTTCGTTTGTTTTCATCCTTTTCCATACTTTTTGTATCTTCTGTACTCAAATGTTGTTCTACTTGATCGATTTGGTTAGAAATCGTAGATTCAAAATCATGTAACGTATAATCTATTTTATTATTGGAACACTTATGACTGTTTCTTTCTTTATCCGAATCATCTGATAGTGGTCCAAAAATATCTTCCATTTTTCCATCTTTTCTAGCATTTGGACACAAGTCTTGGAGTAATTCAAACGAGTGATTCGGTGATTTTTTATCTTTTTTATGTTTTATTTTGTCCTCTCGTACCTGACATTCTTCTACATCTACACTATCACGAATTTTATCTTTACGTTTTTCCTTTTTAGTACTATGACGACGCAGTTTTTCGGAATTCTTATGTTTTGCATCATTTTCAAATTCATTATTGCTTTCTAATTTAACTTCTTCGTCCGAAAATGGCAACTTATATCTCTTTTGCTTCTTTTTATGTTTCTTACGAATTTCTCCAATATTACGGTTAGAGGTCACAGATTCAGTTTCAGAAGAAAGATCATTAGTAATAGATTTTACATATTGCATTTTAAAATCATTATCGATTTCTCGAGACTTTACCTTATGGTCATCTGAGTCCGATTTGCCAAACAAATTCAGAAGTGAAGTCTTCTTAACTTTATCCTCGCCTAACTCCTTCAGGAGAATCTCAGTTTCTCTGCTGCCTTGCTGCGACTCAGAATCCGATAGAAATTCTTTCTTTATTTTCGTACCAAAATCAGGACTTCGATAAACATTTCTTCTTGAACTCTCATCATCAGTGGTGTCGGATAAAATGCGAGTTCTTGAATTTTTTCGGGACAATTTATTACGGGAATCTTCTTCAATTGTGTGGGCATTGAAGTAATCAATAGTCTTCATACGATCATAATCTACACTAGACGCTTGTGATTTTTCGCGCTTCTTACCATGAAGAACAATTTGCTCATCTTCAGAAGAACTATCCATTGAAGTTTTGTGAGATTTTCTTCTTTCGTGGTCCGAATCACTGTCTTCATCCCAGCTTGACCTTTTCTTTTCTTCACGTTTTGCTCTACTTTGTTTAAGCTGGCTGAATTTTGCTTTTATTTTCTCTTGACGTTTCTCCTCTTCTTGTTTTTGCATATTTTTGCAAGACCGCGCTTTAACTTTGTCGTACATTGATATATAAGTTGGTTCGTCATCGATAATATCAAATATAGAATGTTTCTTAGGTTCATCAGAATCAGAACTATCACTACTATGAACTGGTTTACGATTTTTTCGTTTATTATTATCATTTTTATCGTCTTTACTCTTGCGATCTGTTGACATGCGTTTATCCCGAGCTAACTCTTTTTTCTTGTCCTCACTTTTATGTTTTTTGTCTTCTTTAAGTTTATTTAATAATTCTGCTTGCTGCAAGGCATCTTGTTGCATTTGCAGTTCTTGGATTTGCTGCAACTGTTGAATGCGTTTCTTTTCCTTCATTTCTTTTTTCAGAGCTTTTTGTTTTTCATCCTCTTCACTTGATCGTAACTCTAAAGTGGCTAGAAAATCTAAATCATTTTGTAAAGCATCAGAATGAGCATCAGAGTTTTCAAGTATCTTTTCATCAATGCCTTCCTTGGGACTTTTTCTAACATGCTTGGTTTTGTCAGATACTGGTGATATCTCTTTATTTTCACTATCTTTTATTTCAGCAAAGCATTCGTCAGGTGGTTTGACTTGATTTTTCTTATCATCTTTAGTTTTACTTTCTATTATTTTTGCAAAATGTCCTTTATTAAATTTAGTTGTTTTATGCCTGTCATTACTTCGACAATCTTTAGAATCTCTTCTTTCAATGCACTTTATATCACTCTTACACTTTTTTATATCTTCATTTTGACAGTCAAGACTATCTTGCGATGATAATCTTCTTTTGTGACCTATATTAGGTGGTAAGCTTGAGCATGAATTAACGCGTTCTTTACGCTTACAGTCGATGCCAAAAGAATCAAGTGAATAATGCCTTTGTTTTTCACTAATTTCAGTTTTAGATTTTGTGCAGTGTTCAGAGTGATTATCAGATTTATTTTTTAAATGATTATCTGAAAAACGCTTTTCCTCTTTTATTTCACTTTTAATTTTTACTATATTATCACATTTTGTATCCACCACTTTTTGTGATGATTCTTTTTCTACATCATGTTTTAGAATCAAGTCGGTGCCTAATTTTGGTTTTGGTTTTATTTCTTCCTTACCTTCATGATTTTCTAAATCTTTTATTTTTGATGAATCATGAGAAGCCCTAGAAGTGGACGAATCAGTGGAGTCTTTACGGCATAAATCTCTAGAATTTTCATCCTTAGCAGGTTTGTTATGTTTTGCATCATGTTCTTTTCTAACATGATCCCGTTTAGAATCAAGGGCATCTTTCTTTAATCGTTCTGACTTGTGTTTATCTTCTCTTTTTAATTTGGTAGATGAAGGTTCATTTTCTGATGCTTCTTTCCTTTTTTCTTTTTCGGTCTTATCTTTCTTATGATTATCATGACGCACTTTATCATCTGCATGCTTCGTTTTCTCAATATCCCGTTCATTTTTATCAGGTAAATCTTTTTCAATTTTTATTTTTTCTGATCTCTCGGAATTAAGTTTATGACTATTTGTTTCTTCTTTTAATTTTTTGTCCTTATCTTGTTTTTTCTTTGACTTTTCTCTTTCACATTCATGTTTATCTTTATCTAAACGTTCTTTAGTGTATTTAACTAACTTATCGTGATCGCCTCGCACATTCTCTTCAAGATTTCTTGTGTCTGAATGCTTTTTATCAATGGAACTCAATATAACACAACCTGCCATTGGTTCATCAGAATTTTCTAATACAATATTCTCTTTTTCACATTTATCCATGTGGAATGAGTCAAACAAATTTGAATTTGATTTTTCGTTTCCGTCATTATTTATTAATTCCTGCTTTACTTCAACTTTTTTATTTATATCTAAATAATTTACTGCGTTTAAATGGTTAGATGGCTGTGTTGTACTTGAAATAATATTTTTACTATCAAAGTTATTAAATAATTGAGAACAATGATCTAAGTTTTTGTCACAGTTTAACTTGGGTTTTAGATCTTCATCGTTGGATGTTTCAGATTTTATATGATGTAGACGTTTAAATAAAAATTCTTCAGGTGATTGTCGTTTATTTGAAGGCGGTTCAAATGTCATAAATTCTTCTTTCTTTATGTGGTGTTTTATTATGTCTGATTCAATATTATTACAATTGACTGTATTGTTATTTACAAGTAATGTTTCATTTTGGTTGAAATTTCTTTCCATTTTTATGGAGCTCAGTAATGTTGGAAATTTATCATCTGATCTCTTTAAGCTTTCTTCAATTTGGTTTCCATCTTGTGACATAAGACTTCTTTCTATATTTTTAATATCAGAATCAATTTTATCAAAGCAGTCTTTTACAACGTCTGTAACATACGAATTTGTTTCGTCTTCACGTTCAATGGAACAAGGTTCTCTTTTTTTATTTTCAATTTCTCTTTTAGTTTCTTTTTCTACATCTACTCCTTTGTCCCTATCTGCACTAGGTGATGACTTACGGTCTATCATTTCAGTCTGTAATTTGTCAACGGAAGGAGTTCTTAAGCGGACTCGTGAATCAAGTCTATAATCACTTTCATTAAACTTTCCTAGTTTCTCGAGTCGATAAGGTCTCTCTGGTCTATTGAGACGCGGGTCGGCTGGTCGGTCTATCGATTCTGATTCAGTTTCCGAAGGAGGAGGCTGCGGAGGCAGAGGCGGAAGCGGCGCACCGACGGGCAACGCCACAAGCGGGACGGAAGGCGTCGAGCCCGGGGCTGTCGTCGTCGGCACCACCAGTGAGTGGGGTGGGTGCGACGGGAATGGATAGCGTAGCGCCCGCGACACACACGAAGATGGACGCGTGTGGGGGCTGCCGCCCGGACTCGGGGCTCTAGCGGCTCCCTCCAACCGTTCAGAGTCCTCGTCGAACACGGAACGCTTAGCTAGTAGCGAACGCACAACCTCCGACGGTTTAACCTCGTTAATGTCGACCTCGAGAAGCCTGTGTCGAAGACGGGCGCGGTCGGGCGCGTCGGCAAGAGCACGCGAGCCACTCCATTTTTCGTATTTTTCATCGAGGCTGCGGATCCGTTCTTCCAGGGAGGGTGAGTGCGGCGCCGAGCCCGTGCTCGAGGAGGAGGCGGAAGGGGGCCGCGGTGGGGAGTCGGGGGCGGCAGCGGGCGCGGGCGCGGGGCGTGGGGTGGGCGGCGCGGTGCGCAGCAACTGCGCCGCGAACTTGGGCAACGGCAGGCTCATAGGCAGCGGCGGGCGTTCGCGGGGTGGCCGGCGCGGCTCGGCGGGCGGCGCGTCGGGCTCGTCGCGCAGCGGCGTGCCGGCGCGCGAGCCGCGCGAATCTGAGCCGTCGCGCCGCCGTCGGTGCCGGCGCCGCGACGTGTGCGCCGGGTGCGCGTGCGCCGACCCGCCGCGCGACCCTGACCGGGACCGCCGCGACCCGCCGCCAACGCTTCTGTGCCGCTCCTGAATTATTTACACACTTGTATATTATCTTTACACCACAAACAATCAATTACAAATCTATAACAAGCGGATCGATTTAAGAAGCTGATAAGCAACACAAACATATATAGGCGTTTCGATAGTATGAGATAAGCAATTAGTTAATCCTTCAGTAGACAGGTAATTCTAGGCATATGATCGACGAGACATATGATCATGTAATTGACAACATTTCAACAATGAAGTATATATTTTTATGTCAGCTATTTTGCATATTATGCATTTTTTTATAGGATAGGGTGACAAAGGAGCACACAGTCCACCTGATGGTAAGTGGTTGCTGTGGCCCATAGACATCTACACATATCCTCATTTAAGAAACAAAATGCAGATGTGTTGTCACCCATGAGGATTAAGATGGAATGCTTTATTTCCAGTAAAAAGGATCTCCGGATCTCTTACACTCACCATACGAAACACAACAGCATTAAGCTACTATTTTACACTGGTATTCTGTGAGAGCGTGGTCCTTCCCCAGTCGAGTCGACCCATTCGTATTCGTATACTACTAATATAACTGCAGCATGGCTCTACCACGTAAAAAATGCATGTAAGGTTATTGTATATTACTTATTTTTTAGTAATAAAAGGAACAATTTAAAATATATTACTTCATTATACCGATTCTATATTTAACACCACTTGTCCACCCAAATACTTATTTAACAATTAAGTACAATTACGTACCTTTGAACGTTTTCGATCCTCGGGGCTTGAGTCTCGCCTATGCCTATGAGTATGATGTGGTGATACTACGACTGACTGTAACCGATCTTCATATGGAGTGTCATCTGTCTGTGGACTCGAACCTAACTCCTCATATACCCTGTATAGATATAAAAAATATTTATTTCTATCCAATTTCTTCTTATTTCCCTTCTATTTATTCGAAGAAAATTGAAACCAGCAAAATTTAAATCTACTGCATAATCTAATCGACGTCAAATAATTTGACAAGCTGAAAGACATTTTCTGTTTTGTATACCTTACCTGTATCGTCGATCCGCCGCATATTCCGCCGGATCGTAATGTTCATGTGTAGTATAACGCGGCGTTCGTGAAGACCCACGACTAAAGCTTGGTGCTCGCGTTCTTGTTCCATCGTATCTATTAATGAAATAAAATGTTTTAACTGAGGGTGAGCTCTCAAGTTAATATTTTTATAGTTATACCACAGTATATAAATCCATACAGTAGTCCGACGAGGACGTCTAGACCGGGCAATCGTGCGGGGCGTGCGGGGCGTGACGCGGGAAGGACGAGCCTGAGTTGCTTATGCCAAACTTATATAGTAACTCGGGACACGACTTTCAGGGTAAACACGTGTTTGCTTTTATTATTGTTAAATTTAACTACTTGTAGGTAGTTATAATTAAATTGGTGCATAAGACATATGTCATCATCGCGCTTAAATGAGAATCTGCGATTTCACCAAATTCCGCACACGGAAGAAAGGTAAATGAATATTATTATTATTAGTTTACATTGTATATAATTTGTTGTCATGCAACGTTAAAAAAATGGCGAACATAAAAAATAGGTACTAGTCGCTAATATCTTAGACCATACTATATTGCCTCGTCTTCGATCTTTCAAAGTTTTTATAAATCCAAGATGGTGGTCATTTATATATATATATATATATATATGATATGATATGATATGGATGTCAATTTAGAGGTTTCTCGGGGTGACAACTATGAAAATTTATTAATAGGAATACATGTAAAATGCAATACATTAAATAATTTCAGATGCAACTTATGAATGGAAGTTATTGGAAGACCTAATTTAGTTGGAAGAACTTTCGAAAGTCTAAAGAATACATACATTTGCAGTTTGCATTTCGAAAAGAGTATACACGGGAAGAAATGACTGAAGAAAACAGCTATACCAATGTTACTTTTACCAACCAACGACTGTTGATAACGATGTAGATCTAAAATAAATAATTAAATTAGTAAAAGTTTGTTCATTTGTGACAACGCTAGCCCTCCATGCGTTGTCCAGACGTTGTCGGCATTTACCACGAGATCAAAGGCATCGTCCTACTGTATGTCTTTACTACACTGTGGTTATACTAACCGGAGTTGTTCATGCCTCACAGACGGTATGTAGCGAGTAGAAGTATCACCAGTTAATCTCTCGGATCCTGCTAAAGGGGCTGATCCTCCGTGTTTCTCTAGTTGTTCGTAGAAAGCCTCCTAAAATTGACACAAAAAAATCTATTATAAAAAATGTAATTATATTTAATTGCCTAATTAAAACACTTAAAAGGTATCGTTTCATTTCCTAATGCCACATTTACACTCACAAGTAAATTTTTATTTAATATAGTCTTTGTAACATAAAAAGCGGGTGCAATGATGTATTGTTTAAAATTTCGTAACTTCATCTCATTTCGCCATATTCTTTTGCTCCCCGAGGTCTTTTACGATATTTAAAAGTTAGTCATCTTGTACTTCACTAATAGCTTTATCATCAGCCCGTAAACATCCTCTGCTGGACATCGGCCGCTCCCGTTGCAACGAGGATTTGCCCTTCATCACCACTCTTAGCAGGCGGATTAGCGAACACAGTACCGGACGTCTCGCACCGTTGACGCCGATTCCCGTCGTCAGTTTGTGTATTTTACACCTGGTGTAAACTAGATGGTTTTACCACTATCTATTTTATTACACAATTTTATCTTATAATTATATGATGACGCAAAATAAATACAAATTTACTGAACGAAATTAAAACAACGTGTGATAAACGTTGTTCACCGCTTTCCCTATCCCATGAATCATATATGAACATTTTGATTGTTTAACTATTGTGTGTATATCGCGGACAGGGAAACTGTTAAACTTTTAATTAGTTTTACGGGTAAAACTCACGGAAGTTTCGTCTATGTATGAGCCTAAATCTTTCTTACTTGCTTATTTTATGACGATGCGTATGTTTTTCCCTACTCATATTTTCGTAGCCTTTATCGGTACATAATTATGTATATACATTATCTTCGTTGAACAGCTATCGGCTGTGTGATAAAACGAAAAATAAGTTACATACATAAAATATAATGGTTTGTGGAATAGTGTTATATTTACAACATGTAAGCTTAACATTAAGATAATCAATTGTAGACAACATAATTTTTGTAACGCCTGTTTTGGGACGGTTTGATGTTTTGGCATTGAATATTTACATCAGTGTCCACGTTTTGTCCATAACGAAGAAGTGTATAATAGCGGCGTAAGACATTAGTAATTCGTAGTTTATCCACAGCGAAAGAAGGCCGGTCTCGATTTATAGCAATGCAAAAATTGTTTAGATAACTTTTGAAAGCAAGCTGTGGCTTATTTAACTTGCACTGTATAACAATGCCGTGTAGTGGCGGTTAAGAATATCCACTACCCCATATCTTCCCGTGGGTGTCGTAAGAGGCGACAGAGGGAGACAGGCAGGAGATGGGCAGCAGCATCTTCCTGATAATAGCAACTGTACGACAAAAAAAAAACTGCGGTTGCCAACCCGCTCGCCAAGCGTGGCAACTATGGCAATATACCCCCCATGAACAATTACACAAATAGACGGCCCCCAGTCCCCGGCGGCCAAGCTATTCCTGGCTACGGTGGCGACCATGGTAACGGCGGGGCAGGGGGTGCTAAGAATCTCCGGTGGAGGTTCGGTTGCCACCTACGACGACTCGACCTGGCAACATTTAACGCACGCACACTGAGGACTGACGAGAAGATCCTGGAGCTGGAAGAAGAGATAGACAAGTTGCGCTGGAGTATTATAGGATTATCCGAGGTCCGAAGAGAGGGGGAGGACACGGTGATTCTCGAATCCGGCAACTTGTTCTATCACCGGGAGGGCGACCATCTGTCCCAAGGAGGTGTCGGATTTATCGTCCACAAGTCTCTCGTCAACAACGTTGTAAAGATTGGGAGTGTGTCGACGAGGGTCGCGTACCTGATACTCAGAATCACCAAACGGTATTCGCTGAAGGTCATACAGGTTTACGCACCAACCTCGGCACATTCCGATGAGGAGGTGGAGGAAATGTATGAGGATATTTCCAAAGCCATGCATTCCTCCAAAACCCACTACACGGTGTTGATGGGAGACTTCAACGCAAAACTAGGCACAAAAGAAAACGGTGAGCTGAAGTTAGGGAAATTTGGAGTAGGGCAACGGAACCGAAGGGGCCAGCAGCTGGCCGACTTTATGGAGAAAGAGGGACTCTTTATGATGAACTCTTTCTTCCAGAAGCGGCCCCACAGGAAGTGGACCTGGTCGAGCCCCGACGGTTCGACAAAAAATGAGATTGACTTCATTATGACGACCAGACGCCAACTGTTCAATGATGTCTCAGTGATCGCAAGGGTGAAAACTGGCAGCGATCACCGAATGGTTAGAGGCACACTGAACCTAAACGTTAAGTTGGAGAGGTCTCGTCTAATGAAGTCAACGCTCCGTCCCCCTCGTGCTCTAATTCAAAATCCCGAAAACTTTCAGCTCGAGTTACACAACCGCTTTCAGTGCCTACAAGATTGCAATGCAGTGGACGATGTGAATGACAAGCTCGTGGAAACTGTCCATGCGGTCGGAGCTAAGTTCTGCAAGACACGCCGCAGAAGAACACAAAAACTCTCCGATCACACTCTTAATCTCATGGCTGTTAGACGGGAGATGAGGCTGCAATCGTCAACAGATTTGACAGCATACAGGCAACTGAACAGACAGATCTCCAAATGCATGCGGCGAGACTTACGCAACTTTAATACTGCTCGTATTAAAGAAGCGATCGAGCGGAACCATGGCTCCAAAGTCTTTGCCAGAGATCTGTCTGCCCGTAAGAGCCAACTGTCAAGGCTGAAGACTGAGTGTGGCAGCATCGTTTCCGGGACACCTGAGATTTTGAGTGAGATGGAGAGGTTCTATGGGCAGCTGTACACATCATCGTTGGAGCCACACGCAAGTGTGAGTAACGATCCAAGAGCAAGTCTTATCCGACACTATTCCGATGATATCCCGGACGTCAGTCTAAGCGAGATTAGAATGGCTCTCCAGCACCTTAAAAACGGCAGGGCCCCAGGCGAGGATGGAATTACAGCGGAGCTTCTGAAAGCGGGTGGAACACCGGTACTTGAAGTCCTTCAGAAGCTCTTCAATTCCGTCCTCCATGGTGGCACTACTCCAGAGGCGTGGAGCAGAAGTGCGATGGTCTTGTTCTTTAAGAAAGGCGACAACGCTCTCTTGAAGAACTACAGACCGATTTCCCTTCTGAGCCGCGTCTACGTGCTGTTTTCGAGAGTCATTACGAATCGTCTCGCACGCAGACTCGACGACTTCCAGCCTCCCGAACAAGCCGGTTTCCGAAAAGGCTTCAGTACCATAGACCACATACATACCCTGCGGCAGATTGTACAGAAGACTGAAGAGTACAATTTGCCACTTTGCCTGGCGTATGTGGACTATGAGAAAGCCTTTGATTCCGTCGAAATTTGGGCGGTGCTGCAGTCCCTTCAGCGGTGCCAAGTTGACTGTCGGTATATCGAAGTGCTGAAGTGTTTGTACAGTAGGGCTACGATGGCTATCCGAGTACAGAACCAGAGCTCGAAACCTATCCAACTGCAGAGAGGTGTAAGACAGGGTGACGTTATATCCCCCGAAACTCTTCACCGCTGCTTTGGAAGACGTTTTCAAGCTACTGGACTGGAAAGGATACGGTATTAACATCAATGGCGAGTACATCACTCACCTTCGATTTGCCGACGATATAGTCCTTATGGCAGAATCGCTGGAGGACTTAAGCACTATGCTCAATGACCTCAATAGTGCCTCCCAACGGATAGGTCTTAAGATGAACATGGACAAAACAAAGATCATGTTTAATGTCCATGTCACACCTATGCCGGTAGTTGTTGGGAGCACTATGCTCGAAGTTGTTGACGAGTACGTTTACCTGGGACAAATAGTCCGACTAGGTAAGTCCAACTTCGACCGAGAGGTCAATCGACGGATTCAACTCGGCTGGGCAGCGTTCGGGAAATTACGACACATCTTCTCGTCAGGTATACCTCAATCTCTGAAAACTAAAGTGTACAACCAGTGCGTGTTGCCAGTGATGACTTACGGATCAGAGACGTGGTCCTTCACTGCTGGCCGTATGAGGACGCTCAAGGTCGCTCAGCGAGCTATGGAGAGGGCTATGCTCGGAGTTTCTCTGCGTGATACTCAGAAATGAGGATATCCGCAATAAAACCAGAGTGACCGACATAGCCCAACGGATTAGTAAGCTGAAGTGGCAATGGGCCGGCCATATAGCTCGAAGAACCGATAACCGATGGGGAAGAAAGGTTCTCGAGTGGCAGCCTCGTACCGGTAGGCGTAGTGTAGGGCGACCCCCCACTAGATGGAGTGACGACCTGGTAAGATATGCAGGAAGTCGATGGATGCAGGTGGCTCAGGACCGTGCTTTGTGGCATTACTTGGGGGAGGCCTATGTTCAGCAGTGGACTTGTGAAAGGCTGTGATGATGATGATGATGATGTATAACAATAAGATGACAGAGAGCGTGTTCAAGACACTTTCACTAATTGGTTCTGGTCACTGTCGCTCTTTGTTAGTATGGTACTTGATATCATATAGATTGAGAGCCCGTATGTAGTTTATACAAATATCGTTCAGATGTGATCTCACTCTTCTCTCCATTCATCGTTTAGACATCGTAGTCTATTTGTCCTGATGATGCCTCGTTCAGAGACGAAACACGTGTCGTATTATCGGTGTTTTTCTTAAACTCCACCAATTCTAACTAATAATAATAATTCTAAGTAATACCTTTTGACATTTCACATTAATCATACCGCAATAACTTTATGCAAGCATACTCATACGATTTAAAATAACCATTTACATAAACCCAAAGAGTAATAAAGTTGTCTATATTTAATTACAAAATGTGTAGTTCTTTATCACTAAATTCAATTTGAATCTTTAAAACAAAAAACAATATAAAAAATAACCAGAAGAAACTTTTTTGCTTGACTTTAATTCAATGACATGTTCTTCCTTCACAAGTCCAACCTTACATTATAGTGTTTTGATGATTCAAATTCATGTTAATGGGAATAATCGGTAAAAATATTCAAATAATGGAAGCTTTACATTTTTTTAATTAGTATCGGTTTATTTAAATATTTATGTTTAGTGTTGCATAAAGTTAAACAAGTCTATTTTTTTATAATTTCTGTGAATTCCTACTGCGGTGAAGTTGCGAGTAAGTTTAGAAAATGCCGGCTTGTACAATGGCAGTAAAGAGTCATCGAGAACCATTCGAAAAGGAATTGGCTACCCATACACAAAAGACAAATGCTAAATAATTATTTAGAGACGTCAATGCAAAGAATAATATGGCTAAACGCTAACCGTACTGTGCCGCAGACACGGACAACATACTACTGACTACTGTGAAAGACACATTCGTTTTAAATGCATTATAGAAAATCAAGTAATAATTAATGTAAACAACGACAGCTCAACTAGTTATATTGAAAGTAATTAAATCAGTTTTTAATTAAGTGCAGCATTAGCAGTAAGCAAATAAATATAAAGATATTGGTAAATTTTATGTGCTTCAGTTATCTGTTTCTTATTTATTCGGGTATTAATCTAGATCGAACTGTAATTGATAACCAACTCTTAAAAATCGATCAAAATATCGAAGAAAATATCAATTTCTCTAAAGAATTGAATATTGTAGGTACCGATTTTTCAGTTATAATGCATAGTCCGATAAATGTGACAGCTGTCAAAAGGTATTTCTTAAGAGCTTATTACATTATACAATTTTTAGGAAATCTAATTAGGAAGTAGGAAGGTGTAATCGTAGTTAGAACAGTTAGGATCCGATTTAGTCAAATTGGAGGTCCCAATCGCTCTATTTCCTAAATTGTTTACAATTTAGGAGAGTGTAATCGCAACGTTACGATTTAGAACAACCAGTCGGCGCCCGCGCTTTGATACAAGCGAATGTCTTGAAGTTTTGATAGAAGTCTGATATCAGAGAGCAGTACTTTAAATCTTAATATTAATTTCCGGTGGCTATAAAACGTAATTTCACCATCAAACATTCTTTGGTACTCACACTTTATCGAAATATCGTGACATCTTTTTCAATATGTTTGGATACCAAACTTAACAAATATTCAAACTGTTTATAGGTGGTAGAGCCGTGCTGCAGTTATATTAGTAGTATAGTTGTAGCACGAATGGGTCGGCTCGACCGGGGAAGCACCACGCTCTCACAGAATACCAGCGTAAAATAGTAGCTTAATGTTGCTGTGGTTCGTATGGCGAGTGTAGAGAACCGGAGACCCTTTTTACTGGAAACGAGGCATTCCATCTTAGTCGTCACAGGTGACAACGCATCTGCATTTTGATTCGTAATCGAGGATAGATGTAGATGTCTGTGGGCCACAGCAACCACTTACCATCAGGTGGACTGTGTGCTAGTAGTTTGTCACCCTATCCTATAAAAAAACTGCTTAGAATCTAAAAATATATAATTATATTCATATTGGACAGTTTTATCACAATGACAAGTACTCTTTTCTCTTTTTTTAAAATATCCATTGTTCCCACCACGGCTAAGGCAAGTCCTATTTTCTGCTGTTTTGATAAATACGGCGCCATCGATCAAACGTGCAACCCCGTCGATACTTCTTTACTAATGCGGTTCGTCACAATCAATCATCAACATCAATTCTAAATCGTAATATAAACAATACAATGTATTTTCGCTAAGTTACGGCTGATTGTAAAGTGTATTATTACAGTTTGATGTTAGTTTATGGCAGTTTTCAGTTAGGCGGATTTATATTTAGGCATGAAGAGCAAAGACTTCTATGTGAACTATTATACCGGCAATACAGAACAAAAGTATGTCATAGTTGCGGACAGTGGGAGCGCGGGCGTGGACGTGGGTAAGTAGCGAGGTATACAAATGAAGGTGGCATGGGTGGGTGGTGGGTGGTAGGTAAATGAAAATACTCATTTACCTACAACAGTTACTACTAATACGAAATAAAGTTACATACTAATGCTCGATACACACGGTCAGTTAAACTCATCAGTTGAGTTGATGTACATTCAAATATTGACCGCGAGTTTCAAATGTAAAGTTGAAATTTGAAGTTAGTGAGCGGGAAGATCGTTTTGTCAGTTAGAGTGGTGTGGTGTGCAATGTTGTTGTGAAGGCGGCACCTGGCACTCGCGCGAGGCGTAGTCGACGGCGAGGCGCGGCTGGTCGGGGTCCGCGGCGGACGCGAGCGCAGCGACGCGGCGCAGCTCGCGCACACACGCGCCCGCCGCCGCCGCCTGCTCGAAGTGCACGAGCGCCGCGGCCGCTGCGCGGTCCACGCACACCGACGTGGCCGCACCGCACCGCGCCACCGCCTGCAGCACCTGCACACCGCCGCCGCCTCGCTCACTACCGCGCCCACGCACATGCCTCTCCCTCTTCACACACACAGTGCGCCTCGTGTCAAGTAGATGTTGTACATTGGCAAACAAAATTCACATATCTATCACCCCTCAGGACTAACATACAATGTCAATCCACTACAAAAGGGTCAACAACGATCTCCGTTTCTCTACACTCGCCATACGACACGCAGCAACACTTTGCTACTATTTTACTCTGGTATTCTGTGACAGTGTGGTCCCTTCTCAATCGATCCGACCCATTTGTGCTAAACCATATTAAAGCTACAGCGAGGCTCTACCATGTCATCGTTATTTACGTAATAATATACCAGCATCTATCGCAAGCCTCGACTCGTCTCTCTTAATATGTTCCCCTATGATGCCCCTAGCCCATTCAAAGAATAAAATAATTTGCTAGCACCTGTATTTCCATCGGATTACAATTAACTGTCGCTAAGGCAAGAACCACCATCGACTTTACCACCACTACCATCAAATAGGAGGCTAATCAAACACAGGCTTATAATAAGTAAAAAAGTTACTAATGTAAATTTTTTTTTTGTATAATGGCCAATTATATGGATTTTTGTACAAGCATCAACGAATTATTTATTCTCGTTTATTAGCACCTCCTCAATATAAATATTTATTATTTCTATACCAATCTTTCAACATTTTAGTTAAAAACGAGAAGACAATTTTAAACATTGCATTAATTGCCTTCGATTTTTATGAGTAAGATCACAAATTTTTAAAAATGTTTGCATGTTTTATATCGTCAGGTATTTCCTTTTTAAATTATTTTTTATTTATTAATATATGGTGTGCATACCATATATTAATAAATAAAAAAATAATTTATATTCACAAAAAGAAAGTATTTTAATTAAGCATAATTCCATTAACGTCAAGTTTCCGACGTTAACAATAGTCTCCCAAGCATCGCTAACTTTTCTATAGGTATTATATTATAAAAATAACCCTAACCGTGTATCTGAATTAAAGTGAAATATCCCTATCGATTTCTCTACCTATAAATCGCCTAAAACTAGATTACTAAATTCACGGCTGATATAAATTTTTACATGGAATCATAATGTCGACTGTGAGCCATAACATTTGAGCATAACATTGACGTACGTAACCAATAGCATTTACATAACCAAATTTAAAGGCGAGCGGTCCTATTGGCCTGGAGTCCTCCTCGGTATAATATTTTGGTAAATTTAGATTAGTATGCTATCTTAAAATAACGAACTCCGTTCGGTAACCGAGTGGTGGCATTTGAGAATCCATTGCCCAACATCATTCCGTTTGTTTTGGAAGAGACGACAGAGGAAAACTGAAACAGAAGGGCAGTGGCGTGTTCCTAGTAACAATAAAAAATAATAAAAAACTGCGGTTGCCAATCCGCCTGCCAAGCATGCCAAGTATGGCAAATATTCCCCCTGTGAGGCAATTTATGCGAGAAGCCTCTGGTCAGCAATAGACTTTGATAGGCTGTAATGATGATGACGATGTTAAAGAAATAAAACTACGATAAAACAAAACAATTTGCCTTATTTGTCAATATAAACTATTAACACTGGGAGCTTTTTACTAAAATCATTTATAATTTTTCATTAAACACCCAATCATATTTCCTTTATTTGTTCTGGACATTTTTCATTAAAAAAATTATTTGTAGCTACCACATTTCCATTGTTTTAGGGTCTAAAACTTAAAATCAGTGAACACGATTTAAGCGGAAAATAAAAATAACGTTACAAAACAGATCCATCACCTTATAGCAAATTCCGCATGTCTTCATATGAGTAATATGCGTTAGGTATTTAACAAGTATTTAAGGAAGCGGAGATGGTTACGGCATCCCGTGAGCAAAAGATGACATGAAGCTGTTCCTAACCGATTGCGCCTGTCTGAAGTACTTACGTTGTTTTATGTTAAGTTATTTTACTTCTATTCAGCTTAATATAAAGTAAAATATTATTTATGCTTTGCAACTTATTAGTGGCTTGTTCACATAAAACAATATAAGGAAAATTACGGGAATATATCAAAATGAATAAGAAAATGTTCCCTAAGAGATTTAAACACTGCCGATACTTGAAACTTTCTACAGTCAATACTAAGCAACTAACAAAATCGTAACCCAGGGGACAGAACATTTTATTTTTACACACCTGCTTTTCCGTATGCTCAGTGAGGCCATCGACCCAAACGCAGGTGGTAGCGACGGGCTTACCGAAGCCCAGTTTGACCCTCGAACCGCCAACATACTCCCCGTCCATAGCACGGATAGCTTCCACGACGCTAGATATGGACTGGTACTGGCAAAAGGCGTAACCAGCGCCTCCGCCGCTACCCTTCTTTATATCGATCTCAATAATCCGTCCATAATGCTTGAACTTATCCCTCAGCTGTTGCTGTGTCACATCCTTCTCTAGATTACCAATAAATAAGGTTCTAGTCGCCTGTGGACAAAACACGCATCATTAAAAAAATAACGTTTTCTTTATTGTACACCCGAATACATAATGTGAGTGGAATACAATTTCATATAGGTTATATATGTACAGCAGGCGATCTTGACACTGAGAGTAATCTCATAAAGACAAGCAACCAACTAAACAATATACATTGAATATTATGGTCCTCTATACATGAATATAATTTGCTATTATGTATCTTCAACGGCTCATAACATTCAAGTACTGATCATGACACTTCCTTTGTACATCTAATCGCTATTACCAGGCGCGTATTTACGTTAGTAGTATCAAAGACTTCGCACCATTTACGCCACTGACCGTCGGCAATATGATTGTTTTATTGTATCTAAATATATGAGATGGCTGTAGCATTATCTGTGGAAAGCCATGAGATATTTTTGTAATCTCTCATAAACACCACATATATAAACGACGGGAAGAAATGGTAGTGGACTCTCTTACACTCCCATCACACGGCCACTTCAACATGTATCATATCTATCATGGTGACATCCTTATGACATAAATGTCTGTCGGAAAATATTGTTTGATGTTGATATTTGACGCATGATTCGTGCTTCGACTTCTGTAATGCGTACAGCAAAGGAATGGTAATCATAGTAAGAGTGAACAAGCTTTGTTATGGAATGGGGGTCGTAAACAAGCGCACACTCCACTTGATGGCAAAAAGTTGCATCATATACATAGGCATCTAACTCTTTCTTCAATTAATAATCAAAATGCAGATGCGTTCTCACCCCTGAGGACTAAGATGGAGTGATGATATTAAAAAGATATTAATAACAAATTACATATTAAATATTTTTAATTACTTATAAACAGTCAAGTTTGCCGTGTAGTGGCAGTAAAGAATATCCACTACCCCTTATCTTCCCGTGGATGCCGTAGGAGCCGACAGAGGGAAACAGGCAGGAGATAGACAGCAGTTATCTTCCTGATAACAAAAATAATACAACAAAAACTGTGGTTGCCAACCTGCTGGCCAAGCGTGGCAAGTATGGTAATATATCCCCATGATGAGAGTTACGAAGAAACGGCTCCTAATCCCGGTCTCTCCAAATCTCCGGTCCAGGTTCGGTTGCTAACTAAGACGACTCGATCTAACAACATATAACGTACGCACCCTGACGGCTGATGAAAAGATCCTGGAGCTAGAAGAAGAAATAGACAAGCTGCGCTGGGATATTATAGAATTATCTAAGATCCGAAGAGAGGGGAGGACACGGTAATCCTCGAATCCGGCAAAATGTTCTATCTATTCTTAAGTCCCAAGCTGTCGGAATTATCGTTCACAAGTCTCTCATTGAAAACGTTGTAGATATTGTGTGTGTCGACGAGAGCTGCGTACCCTATAATCAAAATCACCAAACGGTATTCGCTGAAAGTCATGCAGCTCTACGCATCAACCTCGGCATATCCTGATGAGGAGCCGGAGGAAATGTATCAGGATATCTCTAAAGCCATGCATTCCTCAAAAACCCACTATACGGTGTTTATGGGAGACTTCAACGCAAAACTAGGCACAAGGGAGAACGACGAGCTGAAAGTTGGGAAATTCAGAATAGGGGAACGTGACCCAAGGCGCCAGCAGCTGGCCGACTTCAAGGAGAAAGAGGGACTCTATGATAAACTCTTTCTTTCAGGAGCAGCCCCACAGAAAGTGGACCTGGTCGAGCCCCAACGGTTATACAAAAAATGAGATTGACTTCATTATGATGACTAGAAGGCAACTCTACAATGATATCTGAATAATCGCGAGGGTGAAAAGTGACAGCGATCACCGAATTGTTAGAGGCACACTGTACCTAAACGTTAAGTTGGCGAGGTCTCGACTAATGAAGTCAATGGCTCCGTCCCCCTCGAGCTCTAATCCAAAGTCCCGAAAATCTTCTGCTCGAGTTACAAAATCGTTTTCAGTGCCTAGAAGACTGACATACAGTGTACGATATGAATGACAAGCTCATGGAAACTGTCAATGCGGTCGGAGCTTAGTTCTGTAAAACCCACCGCAGATGAACACAAAAACTCTCCGATAACACTCATAATCTCACGGCTTTCGGGAAATGAAGATGCAGTCGTTAGCAGATTTGACAGCATACCGGCAAAAAAAACAGATAGATCTCCAAATGCATGCAGCGGGACTTGCGCATCTTCACTACAACTTGTATTGAAGAAGCTATCGAACGGGAAATGGGTTCCAGTCTTTGCCAGAAAGATCTAACTGTCGAAGCTGAAGATCAAATGTGGCAGCATCATTCCGCGACACCTGAGATTTTGAGTAAGATTGAGAGGTTCTATGGGCAGCTGTACACATCATCGTTGGAGCCACACACAAGTGTGAGTAACGATCCAAGAGCAAGTCTTATGCGATACTATTCCGATGATATCCCGGACGTCAGTCTGAGCGAGATTAGAATGGATCTCCAGAACCTTAAAAACGGCAAGGCCCCAGGCGAGGATGGAATTACAGCGGAGCTTCTGAAAGCGAGTGGAAAACTGGTACTTGAAGTCCTTCAGAAGCTCTTTAATTCCGTCCTCTATGGTGGGACTACTCCGTAGGCGTGGAGCAGAAGTGCGGTGGTCTTGTTCTTCAAGAAAGGTGACAACGCTCTCTTGAAGAACTACAGACCCATTTCCCTTCTGAGCCGCGTCTACGTGCTGTTTTCGAGATTCATTACGAATCGTCTGGCACGCAGACTCAACGACTTCGTCTCCCGAACAATAATTTATTATTATTAATACCATAGACCACATACATACCCTTCGGCAAATTTCACAGAAGACCGAAGAATATAATCTGAATCACTTTGTTTTGCGTATGTGGACTATAAGATATAAAAAAGCCTTTGATGCCATAGAAATGCGGGCATTGCTACAATCCCTTCAGCAGTGCCAAGTTGACTGTCGGTATATCGAAGTGCTGAAGTGTTTGTAGCATAAGCCTACGATGGCTATCCGAGTACAAAACCAGAGTACGAAACCAATCCAACTGCAGAAAGGTGTAAGACATGGTGACGTGTTATCCCCGAAACTCTTCACCGCTGCATTGGAAGACGTTTTCAAGCTACTGGACTGAGAAGGATACGGTATTAACATCAACATCACTCACCTTCGATTTGCCAATAGTGTCTCCCAACGGATAGGTCTTAAGATGAACATGGACAAAAGAAAGAACATGTGTAACGTCCATGTTACACCTATGCCAGTAGTTGTTGGGAGCACTAAGCTCGGAAGTTGTTGACAAGTATGGTTACCTGGGACTCTGGGAGAAATAGTCTGACTAGGTAAGTCCAACTTCGACCAAGAGGTCAATCGACGGATTCAACTCGGGTGGGCAGCGCTCGGGAAATTACACACATCTTCTCTCAGGTATACCTCAAAACCTGAAATGAAATTATACAACCAGTGCGTGTTGCCAATGATGACTTATGGATCTGAGACGTGGTCCTTCACTACTGGCCGTATGAGGAAGCATTGTTGGCCGTATGAGGAAGCTCAAGGTCGCTCAGCGAGCTATGGAGAGGGCTATGCTCTGGGTTTCTCTTCGTGATATACTTAAAAATGAGGATATCCGCTGTAGAACCAGAGTAACCGACATAGCCCAATGCATTAGTAGGCTGAAATGGCAATGGGCGGGCCATATAGCTCAAAGAACTGACAACCAATGGGGAAAAAAGGTTCTAGAATGGCAGCCTCGTATCGGTAGACGAAGTGTAGGGCGACTAGAGTAGTGTCGACCTGGTAAGACATGCAGGAAGTCGATGGATACAGGTGGCTCAAGACCGTGCTTTGTTGCATTCCATGGGGGAGGCCTACATTCAGCAGTGAATTTGTGAAGGGCTGCAATGATGATGATGATGAGTCGAGTTTTAAATGCTGTATGTATGGCCCATAAGTGATCATAGATGTAACTAAAACTGAGAACCTTTCAAGTTATTGTACATGGTAGAGCCATGCTGCATGTTATCATGGCTGCAGCTTGAATTGTTGGGCTCGAAGGGCTACGCTCTCACACAGACCAGCGTAAAATAGCAGCATTATACTGTTGTGATTAGTATTATGAGTGTAAAGAACAGGAGACCCATTTTACAGGTGACGAAGTATTTCATCTTAGTCCTCCCAAAAAAGTCATTTTGAAATACACGTTACACCAGATGAAACACGGGCTAACCTTGGGATGATATTCGTCTATATCAGTCTCGTAAGGTTTGGCGGACTCGGCGTCTTCATCACAGTTCTGGTGTGGTGCCACTGAGATCTTGCAGCCGAAAAACAACTTGTCCTGCGAGACTTCGAGCGCCTTATCCACATCGGACGGTTTCTTAAAACGCACCACTGCGTACCGGTCGGCGTTTTGTCCGACAACCTGCATAAATAAAATTATTTTACATACATACGTGTTTTTAATGGTTAATACATTCATTATTGTCATTTTCTATTACATTTTTAGCAGCGCAAGTGTATACTAAAAAAGCACTCGTCGATCGCGGTCAAGACACAGTTGTTATCTATAACCAAATAAATGTTATTGTAAGGTAACCAAATAAATGTTAATATACCTATCATATCATATCTCCTCATTTTATAAGATATTGATTTATCCATGTAGGACGCCATTGCCGTTTTACAAATGAGATTCATCTTCGGCGTCAGAACAAAACAAAAAAAAAACAATCTACCTTGCATACTCACTATTTGCCCTTATCGCTAAGCCTTGCAGCGGATTGCCGATCGCGGTAATAAGGACTAATAATCGTACACCCAACAGATGTCGCTAGCTGGGACTAGTAGTGCCATCATCGTTGAAATATTGCGATTTAATTAAAGTTTTTCGATTTCGTAATGTATGTGTATATACAAAACAATGTCACAGTGCAGTGTTATTTAATTTATAACACATTTTTAATTTTATTTTTATCATCTACTCTTAGGAATCTCCATAGTTTGATTTATCCATATCTAATCTAATTTCTATGATATATGTATAACTAATATAACAGAAAGAAACATTAGTCTCTACACTTGCCTAACAAATTAACTTCTCTTGGATGCTCTAGTTGACGTGTCACGCACTCGCATTTGCTGCCTTTCATTGTAGATCAGTTTTTAGACTAACACTTTATAAGAGATAAATAAAATGCCATCTGATGAAAGCTAGATCTTTCAAGAATTACTTTGCACTATCGAGATTATTATTTACTAACGTTCAAAGGCTACTGCAATTTAGAATAATGCAATATGCAAATCATAAATTGACTCATAAACGCAACATTAAACAATAAATCATAATAACCTTCACCCAAACCACCTTGCCGTGCTTCTTGTACTCGTGATAGAGGCCGTCCTTCAATGAGCTGTCGGTGGAACGGGTCGGCAGGTTGCGTACGCAGATCGCGAGCGGTCGCCCGTTCACCGTCGATGCCCACTGTCATACAAAACTTCGTTAAAAACAGAAAATAAATAACATATTTGTTGTTGAGTGTATAATTACTAATTTTATTAAAATCATTCATATGAAAAAAAATTGTTCTTCATGTTTTCCTCTTTTATTTCTGTTTTTTTTTTTCTATAATTTTACTAATCATGACCGAAACCAGGCCAAAAAAAGAAAAGAAAACCTTAGCAGTAGATAACACAATATATTTTTATTTTTTATATATCAGCGGTAATATTCTTAAATCAAGTCTTTGAGTCGAAGGTTAAGGAGTTTTAAGACCAAAAAAAAAATTCAACGCCTTTGTAAGAGACCTTATTGGTTCCGTTATTAATGATTTTTAGAAAGCAAAACGTAGTGGTCGTTATTTAGAAATGGATTTATAGACTAAGCATTTATAGCAGAATCCACACTCATTCAAATATGATCAAAATGTGTATAGTAATATATATATAGATATGGATTTAGCTGGACAAATTCAGTAAATTGTACGTTACTTTTGATAGCGTTTTTAAATAAAAATTTTTGACATCAGCGACTGCTTCGAATTGACCAAGCTTTGTGCAGAAGTCGCTTCAAACGTAAGCAAGTACCTGTATATATATATTTTAGGTCTGACCGTTCGCTTGATTCTGTTCTCGATGAAAACGCAAGCTAAGTAAGGTGAAAAGCTCTATTAAAAATAGCATTAAGCGCGACTCAACTTTACAAGCAGTACACCTAAGAATGAAAAAGACGAGGGCCTTATGCTAAAAATCAATAATAAACTGTAACAAATAATAATTATATACTTTATAAGTTATAAGAGCGCTCATAGACGGGCTAGTTTTGTAGCAATTTCTAGGTGCAATTATATAGCCGTCGGTTTGCTATCTATATCCCGCATTCGATGTCTAGCCGACTAGATTGCAAGTGGATTTAACTCAATGTTGCTCACGTGTACGAACTCAAATGCTGTGCGATACAGTTGCACACATTACCGGAATATACCCTGTAAGGTGTAGGCACTATGACATTGCAGCAAGAGTATCACTTGCAATATGACAGAGCTATATAGTTCCTCAGCAAGATGTAATTTTTTACCCAGTTTACAAGGCCTATAGAAAATATTGTTTAATTGCGGCTGTTGTCAGTATGTATCATAGTCCGTTCATATTAATCAGCACGTATCGCGCTCAACATTTAAGGCAGATGATACACGGTGTCAAATGTGCGTTGGTGTAGGTGTACCTGGTGGTGGTGCGCGGGCGGCGTGCGGCGCGCGGCGTGGCGGTCGGGCGGCGGCGCGGCCGGCGTGGAGGCGCGCGACGTGTCGCTGGGCTCCGGCGAGCTGGTGTCGGTGCGCGACGAGCCCGAGCCGGAGCGCCGCCGCCGCCGCCCGCCCTCCGTGCCGCCGCCGGGCGTGCTCGGCGTGCTCTCACCCGCAGCCCGCTCCCCGCTCGCGAACCATCGCTGATGAGGCGTCGTTCTGCTCGTAACAATTATTTTACACAATCAAATTCCCTGTATTAGAGCCTACGTGACGTTTCAGCTTAGTATTCAGCAAAATTGTTACCTTTTTTGTTTGAAGGTGGTTGAAGGTGTTCCATGGGATGCAGTAGTAGTGTCTATACTATTTACTATGAGGTGGGCTGTCAGTTCTTTTTATATTTCAATGGAACGTGAAAATTTTGCTAAACTGATATAACTTATAGGCGTACATTACACGCTCATGCAAGCTGTCGGTTTTACAACAATCACGGTTGTGATTGACGTATAACCTACCATGTAATGCAGTGATTGACGCCTGCATGAGCGCGTAATGTACGCTTATCAGTCACCATCCATTTTTTATCAATCATAATTGATGGAATTGATTGACGCCTGCATGAGCGTGTAATGTATGTCATAAGGTTAAGGTTTTTATTATTAAATCTTTTCAAAGAACTCTCCGACAACATCTATTCGGTTCGTTTTCAGGCGATATTTGAAATCCTAAAAAATACTTGTCAAATGAAGGAGAAAGTTTTAATAAATTCATTAAATGAACATTTTTACGACCACGTTTCAATGCCTTTTTCTAACAATAATAATGTGTAGGACTAAAAACAATGGCTAGAGACCCAAAAAGTCACGCATAATACAGAGTAATAACAAAATTTGAGCCTTGAACGAAAAACGAAACTTCTTAATTTTTAATTTTTTACGGAATATCTGAATTAAAATACAAATTTCAGTAACTCGTAACGTGTTAACTCGCACCCGAAAGTTATCATAACTAAAGTTCAGTCAAAAAGACGAAAAATGAATTTCGCTATTAGAACCTGCAAGACTAATAAAAAAAGTAGAGATGGGCCGAATATTCGTTTTATATTCGGTATTCGGCATATTCGGCCGAATATTCGGCTAAATCACCGAACATTCGTTTTCATAGTATCCAATGTATTGAAATGTACGAATTGAGTAATGCGATGTCTTTTACTGTTGAAAGTATATTTTATATATGGGTTAAATCTGCTTACTCGAGAGTGTCCCAAATGCATAAATCTATACATTTATGGTTTTGAGGCACTGTGGATTTATTTCCGATTATAACTAATATAAACTTGATAAAATGTTTTTGGAATCAAAAAGAAACATTACATTACGTTAGTACATTTCACTTTACTTTGGTCGTCAGTTTCTCTAAAATAAGTCCAAATAGTAAGTTTCCTGCCGCTAAGTTTTATCATATAATTATCAATTTTCACTGAGAATAAAACAACGAAATACTGTTTTTATCACAAGAATAGTCAAAACAAGTGCCGGCAATTTCCTCAGTACTAGATGATTGCAATAACTATCAGGTGTGGCGGGGAGCGAGAGGCAGGGCCCGGCGCTAATCCCGCGCGCTTTACGGTTACAAGTTTCGACATATGTACATTGGTTGGGTCCCGAGGTTATCCGAAATTCGGCCGAATAATGTTCGGCCGAATATTCGGTTCGGTAAAAGTTTTGCCGAACATTCGGTCGAATATTCGTATTCGGTGAAATTCATATTCGGCCCATCCCTAAAAAAAGCTCCACAGTTGGGCTCAGGGTTGGAAAAAAACCTTTTTTTTTTTAACTAATTAATCACGGTTTTTTATTTTTTCATTTTATTATTTAATTTAACTACATATTTGCGCAAAATGGAACGCACCCTCAAGGGATTGATTGAGTGGACACAGCGCGGGGATTTTCTGTTTGCAAAAGGTTGTTTTAATTTCGTTCTAACAAGCATTCATTCTTCAGTTTTGTTTCCTATTGTTATTGCTGTGATGCGTGCATGACCAATTTATTATAAATAAAATGCTTCGCCAAAGAGATGGGATTTGGGAACATTTCTCAATCTTCATAATGGTAGTCTCCCACCTATCAGCAAGTGTATTCAGGATACTGTTGGTAGAGGTACGTAGTCGACCTTTCACGTATAATGGCATGAAAGCCATCCGTGTGTGCCTCAGCGAATATGGCAGAGGCACTACAATAACGCGGCAAAACTAACAGCACCTTGAACGCATTATTGTATTGGACACGCAGGACATTGTATGTCCGCTGCGTGTATCTAGCCCACAAGTTTCACATGTAAAAGCACTGACAGTACGCTTTAAAAAGCGTTACTTTAACTTTAGTATTTCATGCAAACCAGCATATTACAGCGAACAGCCAACGCCCTGCGTTCCCTTTCTATATCGGAATAGCAATAGTAAAGAACTAGTGGAAGAAATAAAGAAAGAACAAACGAGAGGATGTGTCGATGAAATAGATGTCAGCGAGGATATTTATTTATTTTTCAGAATTGTCTACACTTTCTGAATCTCGCTCATCTGCAAGTTCTTCGGCAAAAAGCAACGATTGCGCGGAACCGTCTCTTAAAAAAAAAAGAAACTATCTGGAAACTTAAACTTGTTTATAGTAACAACGACAAAATCTACAAAAGAAAGAATAGACCGATAAATAGCAAAGGACATGTTTGTTACTAACAGTAGCTTCAGAAGTAGGGAATATCGAGAACTAAAAAAAGCCATTTCATTATTACGCCCAGGGTATCCCGCAGGCAGGGTATCACGGAAGGCAAATTATTGGATCAACTATACCTTGAAGAAAAAAAACAATGTTTCTCTAATGTATCTGGTAGTGAATATGTCTATAGATGGGTAGTCTAACGTTCACAATGAGCCGATTATTTGCGCCACTATTACGACGGAGCAATCTGAAGTAATTATTTTTGACTCTATAGATACCACAGGAAAGCCGCACACTGGTAAGTATTCTTTCTCATGTTTTTGGCAAAGGGACTTATTACGTGTTTCCTTAACTTTTGCATAAAATCGTATACACCGTGATAGTATACTAGCTGGTAGGACTCCATCTCTGCCTAGGTATCCGTCTGAAGGTTTTTTTTAAAAACGGTACCCTCACACTAGGATTTACTCCCATATCGTGGGGGCAGTTAATGAACATAAATTTCACAAGGACAAACATCAAGACCCGGCACAATTACTTGTAGGCCATACAAATACTTGTTCCGTGCAGGATTCGAACCCGCGGCTCTTAGAGCTGTAACTCATTGCACTAACTCAGCTCCATCACGCGTAACAATTTGTAGGTGATTTAGTGAATTCAAAAGGGGTAAAATTAATCTTAAAGATGACCAAACAGTGCAGTAACGGCAGAAAATGTATGGACTACTGAAATGTTGGTGCGAGAAGACCCACGAATCACATACACGGACATCGAAAAGATTGTAGGCATTAGTTTGGGGAGCATTCATACCATCCTACATCAACATCCTGGAGTGAATAAGCTTTGTTGTCGATGGATCCCTCGTTTGCTCTCCGAAAGAGAAAAATAGTGGATTGGTGCCATGAAATGCGTCTACGTTTTGAAACCGGGGCATCTCTAGGCGTTTTTTGGAAATCGTTACTGGTGACGAGACATGGACATCTATCAATATGATCCGCAAAATAAAAAGCAATCGTCGATATGGGTCTACTCAGAAGGACAGTTACCGACAAAACTGCAAAGACCTTGCAACGTCGGCAAAAAAAAATGGTGGCTAGTTTTTTTTCGCGGAGTGGACATTTGTCGACGTCAATGCTGGAAAATTGTAGGTCAGCCAACTCTGAACGGTATACTACAGTTGCATTACCCAAAGCTTTTCAAGCTGTGCGTGAAAGAAGACCAAAGACCATGCTCCGGGGGATCATGCTGCATCACGATAACGCCTCTTCACATACCTCCCTTAGAACAAAAGCATTTATTGAGGAATCTGGTATTGAAACTCTAAGTCAACTACCCTACAGCCCTGGCTTAGATCCTTGTGATTTATTTTTGTTCCCAAGAGGCAAAGAAAAAAATAAAAGACAAGTTTTTTTCAAGTGCCGAAGAAGCCGTGGCTGCTTACGAAGAAGCGATTTCCAACCTGTCAGTTCAAGACTGGCAAAAGTGTTTTCAGAGTTGGTTTGTGCCAATGGAACTTTATATAGATCATGATGGAGAATATTTACAAAAAATGTAAAATAAATATAGATAGTATCTAGAATAATTTTTGTATATCTCAAAACTTATCGAGTGTCCTACGTATCGCCAAATCCGTTTCCTCAAGCAGCGATTCTCAGCTTCAGGTTGTCTATGCGCTCCGTCAATTTTTGCGTAATATCCTGCTGGAACAAACTGACATTTGTCCCAGCAAACGCCATTGTGACGGTGCGCAATATTTTTGGCCTATTATTGCTTTTCCTGAAGCATATCGGTCTGCCGATGAGGATGCCCTAGCCTTTGCGATACATTCTTCAATTCTTATTCTCCAGGCTGGGATAGCGCTACTTTGTACAGTAGCGCGTCCAGCCGTGGGAAACTTGGCGCCAATAATGCGGCGTACTGCAAGTGCGGCGTCAAAAAGAATTGAGTCCGTCTAGCAAAGATCTCAACTGGCTTCCAAATAGGTAACCAGCATTGGCATTATAACACTCACCACAGCCCGATTCCGTTTGCTTAGTGAGTATACGGGGAAGTCGTGGTCGATCCTCGACAAACGTACGGCGCGTTTCCATAATCTCCTCTTCCAATATGCTCCTCATTTGCTCTTGTTCCAGGGCGACTATTCCATCGTCGTCTGAGTCAACCACAAGAAGATCTACGGTGGCATCTACATAAGCGGCTTGCTCTGCAACTCGTAGAGCCGCATCTCCTGTCGTGGTATTTTCATTCGACGAGTAGGCGTTCGATTTCGGCGTCATTAAATATTTTTGAGCGCATGATGTACCGAACTCGGTCTGCCAGTTTTGCTCGGTGTACGGAAATAGATGGCTCCAGCTCAGCAAAAAAGTGATGCATCCTAGCCCGATACGCAAAATCTTCAGCTTCTCCCCCTTTCGACCCAAAATACGCCCGCATGCCCAAAGCGTTTATTTTCTTTGTACAACGCATGTGGCGTACTCCGCCAAAGGTAGGTGCCATTTACTG